TTCTCAACGAATTGATCTGAAATTTGGTACAGCTGCGTGTTTAACAGGCTACCATCAACAACTAGAACGGATCTCGTTTTTGTTTGATTATTCAGGAAAAAATCAGAAATTTCGAAAAAGCAGGCTTGAAGGTTGGCCAAAACTATACTTCCACTCAAGGTTTCTGTCCACTAAAGTAATTCTAGGCTTCCAAAGTTTTTTGTGCATATAGCATATACATGATCAAAAGTCGAAACAGTCGCTTTAGTCCAGCTGTGTCATACCTTTATAAGAAACGCTATTCTGCTTTTTTTTTCGCTTAAAAATACTTTCACCAGTAGTTTCTTCCCGAGAATGTGTTTTTATGGGTAATTTCGCAGTTTCGTGACTGGATTGGAAGCGATAGGGCTCCATCTATCTTGTAGATGCTTAGGGAAGTGAGGACTAGAAAAAAATTTAAGTTTTCATATTTAAAGTGACCCGACATGGACTTAACAGCAAGCCTGCGCTCAAATTTTTGCCTTCAAAGTTGGTTTATGTTATTTTTGTAAGCCCTACATGATGTAGAAGGATTATTTACATAAAAAAGAAGTTTGTACACTATACTCACGACTGTTCGCCATCAAAGCATAAATCTTTGCGGTTCAATGATAATAATTAGGCAATCCCAGAGTACTTACCAAGTGATATCTTTCCCTATTTTTGCCACTATTTAGTTGCTAGATAGAAAAAACACTCTGTATTGTATGTTACCTTGTGACTCACGTGAACATTACTGTCAGAATCAAAAATAAGTTCAAGGCTTTTTGCAAATCAGTTTTTGCAGGTTGATTTCCTCAATTAGCCTGCATGCTAGGACCTGCGGAAATCTGCAACCACTGCATTCGGACTCTCACACGTACAACAATGTTAGTACTCTACCTCACGCTCATGAGCACGTTGCAGGAGGGGTTTGAAGGCAAAAATTTGAGCGCAGGCCTGCGCTTAGGTCTATGTTGGGTGCCCTTAAAATATGAAAACTCAAATTTTTTTCTAGTTCTCACTTCGCTAAGCATCTATAAGATAGATGGAGCCTTATCACTTTCAAGCCAGTCAAAAAACTGCGAAATTACCCATAAAAACACATTCTCGGGAACAAAATACCTGTGAAAGTATTTTTAAGCGGAAAAAAGCAGAATAGCATTTCTTATAAAGGTATGACACAGCTGGACTAAAGCGACTGTTTTGTCTTTTGACTATGTATATGCACAAAAAATTTTGGAAGCGGAGAATTACCTTAGTGGACAGAAACCTTAAGTGGAAGTATAGTTTTGGCCAACCTTCAAGCCTGCTTTTTTCGAAATTTCTGATTTTTTCCTGAATAAACAAACAAAAACGGGATCCGTTCTAGGTGCTGATGGTAGCCTGTTAAATACGCAGCTGTACCAAATTTCAGATCAATTCGTTGAGAAGCAGATGAGTTACGGCAGTTTTCAGGGTGGAAGTATAGTTTTGGCCAGCACTGTATATAAGATAGAGAAGAATGCAGATCTCTAGAGTAGCGGATATGACGCGTCCCCTCTCAAAGGGAAGCGTCACAAATCGCAGTGGCCATTTGAGAAGAGATGGGCGGTGTGACACGTCACTTGGAACGCTATTTCCAAAACCACCCTCGCTAGCTGCAGAACAACACTGGGGGGGGGGGCTACCGGCCATTTTCCACAGACCCAGCGCGCCATGATCGAATACGGTTGCCAGCATGCGAGTTGCTGCAGGTGTGGCGCAGTGGCAAGTGCACTGAATTCACAGGTTCGGATCCTTTGCTATGCAACTGTTTTACAATTTATATACAAACTCCTAAAATGTGTGTATTAGCGACCACAACGTGTTTTACCTCCTTACTGGTGCCTAAAAGCAAAGAAGCACACCATGATATCTTCCCTCAAGAGGAACATGCCAAAACAGTGAAACTATGCGAGAAAGCACAAGGAACGTACGGAAATGAAAAATTTCAGCGAAATGAGCGCCAAAAGCAGATTGCGCGCGAAACCTCGGAGCTTTGGAAAAGTCACAATTGGTTAAATGAAAATGTTCTCTCCACAGTGGTGTTGGCGTGCTTATCAAAAGCTTTTGGATCTTGCAACCTCACACTTTGCTTTTTAAGCACCAGTAAAAGGTAAAACACATTGTGGTCATTAACACGTTGACAACCGAGCCATTTTTGACCACCTCAAAATGGACTGATGATCTACGGCTGCGGTTTGGACTGTTTAACAGCTACCGCAATGCCGTGTGTTCTATATGACAACCAGGCCACCAGTATTATCACTGCATAGAAGTTACCTGAGAAATTTTCGTTTACACATGATAAATTGATGCACGAAAGTGCTACAAGGTGGTCAGGGCGTGCATACGCGCGGATACACACGGTCGTCAACGTGTTAATATACACATTTTAGGAGTTTGCACATAAGTTGCAAGAGATTTGTCCAACAAAGTATACGAACCTCCATATTTCCGCATGGAAGTCAGCACACTTACCACTGTGCTACACCAATATGTCTTGCTCCTTGGTGGCAACCATATTCGATCAAGGCGCGCTTTCCAAGTGACGTGTCACACCACCCATCTTATCTAAAATGGGCACTGCGAATTGTAACACCTCCCTTTCAGATCCACTCTTTCCCCCAGCGAGGGTGTACGTGCATACGGGCCTCATAAAAATGTGCAAATGACGTGCTTTTGCTCGCAAACATTAATGTCTTTGAGAAAATTTTTTTAAAAAAGCTCAGCCATGTAAAAGTTTCCAGGGGCTATAATCCCTCAAAATCTTTGGAAACATTTTTTTTGAAGAGCGTGGCTAATGCCAAGTCCTTTCATTTGGAAATTTTTTTGTCATGCTTCCAAAAAAAAATCTCGGACCGTTAAGTGCGATCAGTAACTCGGAATTTTCTCAAATCATGCTTTCCTCATGTCTGGCATGCTCCTCACGTATCATTTTCATTCATTACTGCGCCCCTCCAATCATACCCAGCAAGCGTCCTTGCTGCCCCTTTGTTCACATATGCTTCAAAATGCTTATTTTTCGTTGACTTGTTCTTCATTTCAGTTACAAAAGAAACTTATGTACTGTAGTATCTTTGGGAATCCCGCTTCCTTGATTTCATGAACATGTGCTTACCTCCGTACTGTCAGTAAGTCAAAGAATTATCAAATACAGTTTTGAAAGACTATCTTTTTTACCTAGATCTTCTGGAAGGAGCCGGTAGCAGCTTCATTGCAACAGCGCGCAATTTTGGAAATTAGCCATAAGCGAAATGGTCATATATCGGTTGCACCAGGATCGGTTGCACCAGGAAGTGTTTTGCAAAATTTTGCGCTATGGCTTCGCACCTTTGTCATCGCGTGAGAGCGGAGTAAAGGTGCGTCTTACGAAACGAGAAGCTCCATGCCATAGCATTAAATTGACAAAAGTTATAGCTGGATATGTATGAGAAAGATTTTGCCACTTCTGAACGCCTGAAATACGGCACCCATCGACTTAGCGGAACGAGGAAATTTCACAAAAAACACACACTGTGGTCCGGATGTAGTGCACAGATGTCCACGAGGTCCACAATGGTAAGTCTTCTGAGTAAAAAGGTCTCCGATGTCACTAGTAGGGTTCGACACAGATCGTTTGGAAGCAGGCTGGACATCGTTTTCTGGTCGAAACAAAGGGGTTATGGGGGTCCGAAAAAACCACAAGCGAGGTTAGGTTTTTTCGGTCGATGTTTCCAAAAAGGGTCAAAGGAGACTTCGTAAAATTTTGCGAAAGTCAGGGGACTTCGTTTTCAAAAAGGCTAAAAAAGGACTTCTTGCAAAATCTCTACTGCTTGAACACTTTCCGGTCACTGTTCGTCACAAACTACTTGTATTGGTCAACTCATTGTATGTATTAGGTTAGCTCGAAAGTTCTTGGACATTTTCGAACGAGATCTGCTATTTCTCGAAACCTGATGCATGTACAGTTTCCACCCACCGTAGGTTTGCATCCAGACTCTGGGAACTGAAGGCTCGAAAAATGGGAAAAATTCATATCTTCGTTCAAATAAATCCTATGGATCTTCAAGTTGCCCAAGCAAATTGCAACCACATCAGACACCCATATGTATCATTGCTGTATTTTTTCCTCATCTAGAAATCAAGAAAACATAAATTTTCATGTTCATGCAAAAACGAAACTGTGCTGTATCCACCCATGTAACTATGTACTACAAGTCCTTAGAAGTATAATCTTAATTCTTAGCTTTCCGCAAGCCCTAGTTTTCGAAAAATAATGATTTTAGCATGGAACATGAGGGGAGCTCAGTTTGGTGATTTTCGGAAAATAGGGCCTATGGAAAGCTGAAAAGTTGCGGTCATACTCCTAAAGGCTTGTAGTAACAACCACATGAATGAAAACAGCAAGCTTCGTTCTTTGCATGAACGTGAGAACTTTCGTTTTCTCGATCTCTAGCTGCGAATAAATACCAGGAACGGTACATATGAGTGTCTGATGTGGTGTGCAATTTGCTTGCGCAACTTGGAGATCCGCAGGATTTATTTGAACGAAAATATGAATTTTTCCCAATTTTTGGGAGCCTTCAGTACGACTCAGATTCTGGATGCAAACTTAGGCTGGGTGGAAGTTGGTGCGAACTTTTGCATAAAATCTTGTACAGCTTGCTTTGCTCTATCGAGTGGTGCCTCTGTCGGATGTACATGCATTGAGTTTCGAAAGATAGCAGATCTCGTCTAGAAATGTCCGCGAACTCTCGAGCCAACCTAATACCTTGAACTTGAAAGCGCAGACTCAACACCAAACTTGAACCCATGGCCTAAAAGACCGTCATATTTTGTAGCACATTTGTCAGTTGCAAAACTACTCACCACGGAAAATTTTGTTCTATCATAACAACGTCTCATAAAAAGATCAAAATCTACCATCATTAACATGCACTTTATTAAACAGACATAGTGTATTATTAACATGAATCGAATACTCAAATGCAATAGCCAATACATTTGTCTCAAAGAGCACAAAACGATAAGGGTTTCTTGGCATAGTCGTTATTTACAAATACGTCTTTGCTAGAGTGGATCAGTAGATGTGTTATCACGAAATCACCAATACTTTTATTAGACTAAGACACGTAACGACGACCGGGAGTGAAGATGAAAGGAGGCCGAAACTAGAAGCGAAATTGAGATGATTTTCGCTATTATGCAACTGCAAATAATATCGCGAGATCAAACAAGAGAAGGACGAATGCGGAAAGTTAGGCTGTCACTTTATGAACGCGTAAATAGACATTGTATTGGCGAAAAGTAGCAGTTTCGGGGATACGATTTTTTCTCTGAAGACCTCCTTTCTCGCGGTTCTTGTTGTGCAGCAATTGCTCGTTCTCTTCGTGACAACACTCGAACAAGCTCACGTTCAGCAAGTTGTTGCTCCATATTCCTCAAAATTTATGTTTGTGTGATGGACGGCTAATATTTTTTGGTGGTTGGAAACAGTAGCTCACTCTTTTGACCGCTACTGAAACTAATAAAGTTTTCGACCTATGTGTCATCAGTTTTTCGTCAGCTTTCACGAGCTCAAGTGTTCCACGCAATCGCTGCGTTAGAAAGCAATCCGGGTAGTCAAGTTTCTCTGGCTACGTCAGAAAGCGAAACATTCTTGAATGGCTCATTTGTGGCGTCTGCGATAGAAGTCATACTAGTCTGTACTGTATTGGAACTCAAGATTACCCTAGGCACTAAAAATATGAGCTGTTTCGAAGTTTTCATGACGAGTCTGAATTTGCAAGCTTTTTTATAATCTTAGTCAGAATGTAAACAGACACCAGTCCTAGATATCTTTGTGCGATTTTATGAAGAGGGAGCTAGCCAACCCACGCACCTATTACCGACCCCAAACATAAGGACCACGCGTCTTGTTGATTTAGTGATATTAGATTAAGCTTAGCGTTAATACACTTCAACCACCTGAGTGACTCAAGAATATTGCCGAACTATTAAGCAGTTTTCGACCCTCAGAAGCATACCTAAAACGAAGAGTAGTTCGAAGGAAGACTCACTTCAACAGAGCTTCATAGATAAGTCTTTCGTGGCTGATTGCAATGGATAAGTGCACAAGTGTAAGTAGAGCGGCAATAAGTAATGCCAATGATTTCATCGTGGCCCAGTTGTTATCTGGAAAAGAAATGGTTGTAATGCCTTTCTAATAATAGGGGGAAGATTAAAAGTACAGTAGCGCTCCAGAAGATGAGGTACCAGAAGAAGGGGATGACATATAGAAATATCTCAGGCTGCAGTATGCAACGTGGATAAGATTCAGCACAAGCATTGTTTTGAGCAGACTGATGTATAGCCAGCCAGGTCTCTCACAATAAACACAATAGCTAGGCAGACGGTTCTAGGTGACGTTTAGAGAGCCTCATCAGAGGTGACACAGAGACCAGTTCCCAATGAGGGGTCATTGTTGCGATGTAAGCCTACGAAAATATGTTGGATCACACCGTGCTTTAAATGCACCGTAAAATAAACGGAACTGGAAACACAAGTGTTTAATTCGCGCAGTAACGAAGACTGTCTAAGAACGATTGCGTACAAAACAGATGGATGGATTGTTTTTGCTTGTAATTTTCGTGACCCAGACAAGCTTTGAGAGTGTTCACGTCAGCGTTAGAATGTAATAATTGCGAGAGAGCGCGTTCTCTTGCATCATGATGGCAAAAAGAAAACGACATTATTAGTGGGGGTGGGGTTGAGCTACAGACAGGAACATCCCACTTTCGTTGACACTTCTATCTCGGTACAATTGGTTCGTTGAAGAGTAGGCGACCCCAGATAAGATAATAATTGGGGAACCACCATAGAAGAAAACAGTGTGAATCGACATCCAATTGAGCGACTGCCATTGGTAATTCTCAGTTCTAATGGAAAATAATATAGGATCGGCAATCAGTGATTTAGATATGAAGATGATGCAAATGAGAAGGGTAATAATTTAGGAATAGTCTAGGAGACTATGCAAGAGGTGCAAGATCTATGGCCTTCAGCCGCTCCGACTTTGTCCTGAAATAGAGGATTCATAAACCGGCCTGCGTGCGGAAAAACGACCGCCCGATTCTCCGCTTTCCTGAGGAGCTCCTGGCCGGTTATTTACGTATCTCAATCTTGAAAGTGCAGCGAAAAACGGGTGAACCCAGAAATTCGCGTCTAACAATATTTACAATAGATGCTGTGCATTTTCGAATCTGGTTTGCATTGTGATCATAGCACTTACGAAACTAAACATGCAAGAACTGTGAGGAATTTTGAGAGATGCTTTTTAGTGAAAGGTGGAGGAAAGTTTGCGTTTTCTACAACAGAATAATGGGAGCTGAGAGGATGTGAAAAATTCTGAACGCGAACATAGTATACTACAAATGGAGCATTACGAGGGGTGGGACCAACGTCCTTCAAAGCTAAATAGGCGCATAGGTGGAAAGGCACGAGCCTGCGGTGTTTTCTCTTGCAGAGAGCCGTCTTGTTATATTTCCGTACGATAATTCGCTGTACTTCAAGAACCTCAGCACCAATCCTAATGTGTCAAACCAGAAGTGTTTCTTTTTGCGGCCTGAGATCAAAGAAAATGAAGTAACTACAATTAGCTATCTTTAACTGGCTAATAATAGACTGTTAAGTGCTATTTACTGAATCAACATCAAGCAAAACGTCTCTGCGCTATTGTTATCCTCGATGCGTACCAGGTGTACACTAGAGATCAGTTGGATGATGCTAGCCATATAGCTAGTGCTAATTTACGCATAACAGGATCTGACATCATTCACATCTCGAAAATGAACTTCCTATTGCTGCCTGGCAGGTCGCCGACACATCTATACGATTCAAATAGATTAGCAGACTTGTGCAAGAACATGCTGAGGAAAAGAAGAAGGAATCGGTTTCAATTCTCACTGAGTCAGTTACACAAGCCAGAAGATCACAAACTCTTCTTTATGTATTGACTACGCACCAGAAGAAAACACTTTATAATTGTTTCAATAAAGAATAAGTTGTAGAGTGAAAATTTTTGCAGCTTGCAAAATCAAGATCAGCCTAAAACTCCAAATCGCGGTGTCAAGATTCTTTTTGCCAACACGATCGGTTCTTGTTCTTTGTCTTCATCTGAATACGTTGTAATTGTTCGTTGTTTTACATTGTGGTGCGCAGCTGGAGTGCAAAGTGAATCAACAACAAAGCATATAGTCTTTTCAACGAAAACTACAGAAGGACGTTCTTGCAACATTTAACTTCAACTGTAGATTTAGATCAGTCAGCTTTTCCCGCAGCCACTTGCTGAAAGCGTGGATAGCAGAAGAATACAGAAAGTGTTTATCTAATTATATTTCGTTTGAGACCATTTGTCTAGTAATCAATACCGTTCCAGATGCAAAGCATGGTTTGTCGAAAAGTTTTGCAGTCAAAACGCAGATGAACCATGAGCAAAGTACTGGTGTGATATGGAAAAGTATCATTAATAATAAGAACAAACCATCCATATGCAGTACGAAACGCCAAACTGAAAGGCATTGTTAATGGACGGAAGCAAACAGGTTGTGATCTGATGGAACACCGCAGTGCAGGAGTAGGATAGTAGTAATTAGAAGGATACAGCAAACTCGTTCATTACTATATAATGGTGGGACTGATTATACGAGACAATATGAGGAACGCATGCTTAGCGGTAGTTGTTTTCTGCAGCAAGTCAATCACAAATTTCGTTGCGAAGGTTCTTTCTACGAAAACTCGAATAATTTTAAATTTGCCAGGATCAAAAGGAGGTGCAACAAAAAGCATGATGGCTTGACCATCGACATCCAAACGATTCTCCTTTCTGAAGTCGGACAGATTTGCTCTGTTAGATTCTAAGTTGCTTAATAAGGCTTATTCAAAAGATTTCAACATCGTGACTACAAAACGCAGAAGAGAACAAATTTACTATTGCAGTGCACGTCACTCGCGACTTCCATATTAGTGATTTGAGAAAAAAAACGCCCTGATAGAGCTATTTGGACGTAATTGCTCACGTCACAGTCTATGCAGTGAATGAAATGTAAATGAAATTGCAATAATACAGCAAATGGATGTATAATGATTTATAATCAAATAGAACTACAAGGAAGCCCTTTGACTGATGCGTTTCCACCACTAACGACGATTACTGAAAATTGAATAATGCTCGTGCACTGCCAGAGGAGGAAGAAGATGGCTCATTTTATTGAGATACTCTTCCTTGAACAAATTTTGCACATTCGTCTTCGAAGATGTCATGACTTTAGTAAGGAAATATATTCAGCTGCTCCGCGCAATTCAGGCAAATAAAAGAATACTCAACTAGATTTGCTTTGAAAGAAACTTAAACCTATGAACACAGTTTGCTTTGGATGAATCTTCAACATAGTGAAAAAAACTGGCGGTAAATTCTGCAGCACATAACAGTCACCAGCAAGATTAAACATAGTTTTTGTACCACAGTTAAGAACGAATTAATCAACGCAGCTGTAAAGTTGGTTGACCGACAAAATATAATGGGCAAACAGTTTATCTGCATTGTTGACTTTGCTTTGTGTGTATATAGCACATGATAAAGACGTTAAGTCCATTGCTGGACTTGTATAAACACATTGCCAGCATGCCTTGTCCACTGATAGAATATTCCGAAGACGTCACTACTTCTGTAACCCACCTATACGCACTCTATATCCCTGCTATCAAAGCATGTGAAGCTAAACATAAATTTCCCAAGCAGGCTATTTGGAATGTGTTTTCAGCTTTCTGAGGACTTCTATTTTTTTTTCTTTCCCTCTCTCTTCCACTGCATAGTCTGATCAGCGATAGTGCCTCAAACCAGCCTTACTGGCGCGTTTTGTTATCTGCTTATCACTTTGAACAGGAACAGGCTATGTCCAAAGAACAGCTCGTCGGCTTACTGGCGCAAAATTAAGTAAACTTTGGCACGGCAAATTCTGCAGTTGCAGAATCTGTTTGAATACTGCGGAACATTTGCGAAAATTGGAGATTCACAGCTTTGCGGAGCTTTTGACGAAATTCCATTTTATCCGAGAGTAATTAATAATGCCAAATTTTTGGGATAAGCTGCTTATTTTTGTTGCCGAATAATGCCTGCCAAGAATAAATGATCTACATGGTGCAGCAAGGTCTAACACAAAACTTGTTTTTGTAAGACGGTTGTTGCTATGCGAAAAATTTGGCAATTTCCGTTGTGTTGCGTAGAGCTGTTGTGATTCATTAGATTTTGCGAATATAAACTTTCAAATTATAGCTGGCTAAGTATGACCGCTGACATCATCTAAATACAGATTGCTGTAAATGGCAGTAATCATTTTTTTGAGTTCATTGAAAGCATTATCTATTTTCAGCAGATCAGAAAGTCAGTCAAGCATAAGTACTTTGCTTAGAACTGCGCTTGCACCAGACAGGAATTTTCAAATGTTGCAGATTTATTCTAAATTAGATGACACTCGTAAAAATAGACTCGAGCTCATAGACAGAATTCAGTTGATGGACTTACTGAATTCTACTGAATCATCTAGTAGTACTAGTAATAGCAGTAGACAGAAATAATTTCAGAGAGCATTGAAGTTAAAGATGATGCGAAGCTGGGTGAATCAGAATACTAGCTCTACTTTGAGGATGATGACAATCCAGAAAAAGTGAGAGGAGTAGGAATTTGCGTAGGCGTCACTTTGCAAAACATTTTTTTGATCATAAGCGTAATAATGACGACAGGAAACTTCGGAGCCTCCCACGTGAAAACTCGAGAAATCTCTCAAGCATGCTGGATTTCAAGGAGTTACTCAATATTCTTACATTAGCACGCTATACACGTGTGACAAAAGATTTCGAGAGCTTTTTGCACCTATGCTAGCACTATTTCACTTCTACTATGAACGCGTATGTGACAGACTGAGTCGGTTCGCAAAATAAAATTATTACGATTGGTTCTAAGAAGGTAGAAGAGGGTCAACTGACATACGATAAAGTTCCAAGCATAGAATATACGTTAGACAATTTGCTTGAATGGCTTTCGGTGAAATAAGAGTTTTTTGATGAGCTCATTTGGAAGCTAGAACGTACGCCGTCATTATTACATCCATTTCCGGTGCCAAATCTAGGAAGCCACAGAAACCAGAATATATCAGGGATGCTCAGTATTCTCATTTCGTAGCTGTTAGCATTATATTAAGCTTGAACATAGCTCCTGTGCCAAAAAATTCAAAATTATCTCGGTCTGTAGCAAACGTCTCATTGTACAGGGTGTCCCAAAAAATGTTAACACTGTTCGATCGTTATTAACTCCCTCGCTGGCAGGTCTTTCGTCAAGCTTTAGGCACCATTTTGTAGAGCGAGGATAAACTTAAATTTACAGTATGGAGCGAATCGTCGATCGCTCTTCGTTACTGTAGAATTACGGTAGGAATTTTGACAAGGATTTTAGGCCATTAAAGACCATTTTCTGCTCCGAAACAGAGCCAAACAAGCCAAAATCTCTTTTACTATGGTAATGAAAGCCGCTGATTTCGGATATGAAATTTCCATTTTATTATGATAGTTCTTTTCAAAGTTATCCTAGGTAAAATGTAATAACTGACTTCTCAGTATGTGTCTAACATGTGATTACACTGTCAAAAAAGCTGAAAACACTTGTAAAAAGTTGTGTAGTAAAATCAGCGTGCGCGAAAACCCTAGTGCACGATTTTTCAGACTTTTTGAAAAAATTTTTGTCAGAGGGCATATCTCACGACGGTTCCACATGATGGTTTCTTACCGCAATCCTACAGTAACGAAGAGAGAACGGTGATTCGCTCCATACTGCAAATCTAAGTTAAACCTTGCTCTACAGAATGGTGCCTCAAGCTTGCCGAAAGACATGAAATCAAGGGAGTTATTAACGATCAAACAGTGTTAACATTTTTTTGGGACACCCTGTATACCAGATATTTCAATTGTATATAGTATGACTGGTACTACGAAACTTGAATCAAATCCTAGTGCACCTTCTAGTTTTACGCGACAGCAATTCAAAACCCCACTATTTGCGTGTTTTGCTTTCTCGGCTAGTGTCAAAATGCTAGCTAAAATGCTTTGCTTTAAAAATCTCGATAAGGTGCATGATTTCATGTCAGTTTTTCATGGAACCAGACAACTCGTTTGAACGGAAAATATGGTGTTTTAGCACATCCATAAAATATGGCGATTCTAGAACATCCATGGCCCAGATTTACTTCACAAAGTATAATTTCGTCACAACAAGACAGAGAGGCCAACTTTTTCCTCTTATAGACTGATATTTGTTGAAACTTTCGCATTCGTGTGCTAGATTGAAGAATCTGCGCAGAGCCATAGCTCTTCTCCTCGGATTAGAGGTATTGAAGGCAACTTAAATTTTTGCGACCGATTTTCCGATTTGGTGCCCTATAAGATCTGACCTTAAGATCTGCTTTGAAGTGCCGCAGGCATAGTAAATCGCTGGCTTACCTCGCATCGCAGAATCAAAATCCAAGAAGATATGTCGAAGATCAATAAAGTGGTAAAATTTGATATGAATTACGGTAAAGTTCCGGGCCAATTGATGCAATGGTATCAATAGAATTAAAACTCAAAAATTTGATATGAGTGAATCATCAGTCGGTTCGAAAATTTGATTGAATCGGTGCGCAAAATAAATTTAGAGCAAAGCGTATCAAGCAGAAAGCATAGAAGCATATAAACATACAAATCAAAAAGAGAAAAAATAAATTTGTAAGCATATTTGATATTTGTTACCTGGAAGACCGATGCGACAACCTGTTACCACAACTTGGCGATCGTAGCTGATGGTCACTCGCTCTCTCAAACACTGTACTAAACAGTAGACCTCGGAGGAGCATAGTCACAGAGGAGGAGTTTAATGTTGAGATTACATCGTAGGTTAAAGTAGAATGAAGATAGGAGAGAACTGAAGAGATGAACGAAATGAGCTCTTTTACAAGCGTCAAACCACCAAGTGGCTGTTGTCAGCCACTTGGTGGTTTCGCGCAAGTCTGTAATCACAAACGACATCCATATAACCGTCACTCCAAAAACATTGCTAATCCCATACTTATGGACATGAGGAGGATATAATAAACAGCTTGTGGTGAGCTACTTAGCAGCTTTCTCTCTTCGCATCATTCCTCCATATTTCTTTGTGAAGCTGCACAAGTAGCACAAGATTATGCTATGCGTCTGCCGTTGGGGTATACTGTTATACAGGGGTTTCTATCTTTTTGGGAATCCATGACCGGACATCCCACAAGTGCAAGATAAAGCCTTGATTGCGTAATCCTTTTTCTTGGTACCCATGGTACCTACACGATTCTCTTCTAATTTCCGCTTGTGCGACTATATCGGTGTAATGCGTCAAATGGAAGATAAGATAACATCCGACGGTGTAGTCGCCGAAAATGGCTACTGCAGGTTAGCAGCTTCTTCAGTTACCTTCTTTTACGTTGTGTCGAAATTAATATGCCGCTTCCAGCTGTTCTCTTAATCGCTTCGTTGTGCTTTGTCAACAGCATCGCTTCCGAAAAGTTAGTTGTGTTTGCTTCTTTTACGCAGTTAAAAAGGAAAATAAATCTGTAAAGATTGGTCTTGGATGACCTCGGTGCGCCCAACTACCACTGCGATGCAACGTTGATGAAGCCAAGCAAAAAGATCCCTACAAATGTCAATTCTGTGCGACCTGCTGACATCAAAGTTGTCATGGCATTGGGAGATTCATTGACAGTCCGTTCTTTTGGATTCAAGAAGCCATTGTTGCTTTTTCTCTACAATATCTCGATTGCAGAATTGTCAATCTAGACTAAATAAGGAGACATACGTCGAAATTTTAAGCTTTTGAGGCTGCGAATGGAGCCGGAGCTGAAGATCCGCTAGCTGTTGTCTTACAATACAGAGGTCTAGCCTTCCAGGCTGGCGGCGACAAAACTCTGGACGAACATGTCACAATTCCTAGTAAATTTTGAAAAATAGGAGTGTGGGAATGCTGTGACGCAACTTTACATATTCAGATGTGCTGAAGGCGTACAATCCGAAGCTGTTCGGCTACTCCAATGGAATAGGATCTCCAAATGTTTGGGAAATAGCCAGATTGAATGTCGCAATGCCTGGAGCTGAAGCACACGATCTTCCTGGCCAAGCGCAGCAATTAGTCGGTCTGCTTCAAGCACATCCAGAAGTGGGTTTTGGAAGCACTTCAGAGCTTTGAAACGCGCAGAATGTCGAGTGATTAGAAGAAAGAGTACATTGAGCATAAACCTAGCTTGTGAAGTATAGCATTTTGATCGCACCATGATAGTTTCGAGAACAAGTCAGAGTCAGTCATTATTGGAATGTAAGCTCTGTGACATCAAATTGAAAACTACTACTGTGAATCAATCTAAGTAGTTACTGGCTGCTAGATAAAGACAGCTGAAAATGAGTGCCCATAAATCACAAATAACCAGCTGCAAAAAAGAAATCAATAGGTTTTAGTCGTAGAATCGTTTATCCGTAAGTGAAGTATATAAAAAATGTAACAAAAACTCCGAAAGTCGGATAAAGGTATAAATGGTTTGATTTGTAGCCAATTTTTAGATAAGTTTCGCATATTCTAATTGCTAGCATGTAGACAAGATTTCATTAGAAAGTTGCAGAGAACCTTTGATTTGGTGAGTGAGGAGAGGGTCATCACTTTCGACTTAGACTTGTCACATTGTCACCGAAGCGCGCAACGGTTGTATCGCTTTAACACTTTCGGACCTGACTTTTTCCCCATAAGAAAGTTTTTCTCATTGTGTTTTACTTGTAAGCACATAAATAGCACCTCAGTTAAGTTTGAAAAGTTTTCGACCATAGAGCAAGAAATTACAAAATGGTGGCATTTTGGTAGCCACCAACAGGCTTTAGTGGAACGGCTTTTACTACACCTTACTTATCTATAATGGAATGTTTTGAAGCAACTTCGATGTTTCTCCAGGCAAAGATGATCCTTACGATTCTCATACTGAATTCGAGAACGTCCTTTACAAGATTCTAGTTTACATCGTTGTTCGTTACCATCTTCATGTAAGCCAATGTCTGACGCTGTCATACCTAACTTCAGACATGGATCTCAATCTGGGCTTTGTGCGTTTTGTTGGAACGGTAGTAAGTGCATTCATAATATTCGAAGAAATGGACACCGGTCTTCCTTGTTTTGGTTCATTCGCGATACCACAAAACTTTTCTTTTCTCATCTTGTGCTCTTTTTCGTCGCTTTCTCCAATGTCTCCGAACTCCTCGTCAACATCATCTTGGCCAATGATGCGGCCGCCGCTTCTCTCAAGGTGATTTATTGAGATATGCCATCTAGATTCTTGTCAAACTCGTTGGCGGTCCATCTTCTGAATAAAAAACCTTCCATTAAAGTTCCACTAAAGCCCACTGGTGGCAATTGCGTACAGCAATTCTGTAAGTGATGGCAAAGAGTCAACACATGTGGACTCTCAAACAACTGCCAATTATTTTTGGACAACTTCATACTCGACGGTTACAATGGAAATATGAATAAACACACAGTGGTCTAAAAAAATTGGCACTAACCTATCAGATTTCAAAGTTGAGCGCGATCCAGTGTTGCTTCGCACGCAATTGCTTCTGATACTAAGCGCAGAATAAATGCGAGTGAATGCGCAGATAGAAAGCAATAGGCCATCTCAAGCTGCTGCAACTATGTAGGAGTGCTAAAAACATGCTGTGGCGGCGATGCTACAGTCCTTTAAACTTGGTGGTGGCAGTTGCCACCGCTAGGTCCTAAAGAGTTAAAGAACAGAGTGCTCTCTTCTTTTTTGTCATTTTACGAGTTAGTCTAGCTACTATATGCGACCACAAAACAATGAGGAATAGCAAGCGGAAGCAGTTTGACTGCTTGTTTAAGGAATTATTGTGAGAACCAATCTCTGTGGCATTTCTATCTACATCAAAACATTTTACGGCCGGAAGAACGAAATTAGCAAAGAGAAAAGGGAAGTAACAGCTTTGAGTAGAAGCAAACGATGTTTGCGCTTCAGATTTCTGCTAAAAAGAGAGGTGAACACAAATGTTTCAGTCGGTCAACATGAAAGAAGATTGGAAGCTCTTGAACATATTCATTGGAGGAAATGACATGTGCGGATATTGCCACAACCCGGTCAGTGAAGCTTTTACGATTTTTTGGCAGCAGCAAAAAAATTTGATATAATGCAAATATTCAAGAATGACGCACCAGAAAAGTGTGTCCAGCACATCTCGGACACCATACAAATAATCTACGACCACGTCCCCCGCGTTATTGTTTCCTTGACCGTAATGCTTCATCTCGAAGTGCTGCGCTTAACGGATTCTGGACACTTCTTCTGCACAGAATTACATGTGTAAGTCTAGCAAAATTGAACGACTACACAAAGCACAAAATCGAACGATTATGTAACAGCAGAGGAAGCTTGAGCAAAATATGCCATTCTTCAAAATTGAGAGGGATTGCTCTCCAGTGAAATATGAGAAGCAGTGCCGTAACTCAAATTAACCATTCGATTTCCCAATATTTTGAGAAAGATAGCTTCTAAATTCTGTGTGATGCACGACAATATAGTTTGTAGAAATTTGCACTTTCAGTAGAAGGCATGGCTTACGCACCAGCTTATAAAGGCACTCATCTGACGAAAAAGTGGGCAGTAAAAGTTGAGGAGAAAAACAAACTAGGGATGTGACTCGTATTACTGTATTAGGAGTAAATACATGCACATGCTTGCGATCTCATTAAACAATGCGCAGGTGCATTCAGTCTAGGAAATAATAGTCTGCTCCAGATACTTGGTGAATGATTCAATAGAGTAACATAGCTAGTATAAAGTTAGATTAGGTTTTTGTACAATCGTTGAGTAATCGCAGACTTTAATCCTTTCCCCATTAAAAAAGCACTGCCACTCCCTAACGTAGCAGATTGCGGGCTCAGATTTGAGGAGAATGCAGGAGTAGGGTAGAATAATGCACAATATAAAGATCTGGATAATCAAGGAGCTGTCGGATTCCAAAGTATCGAAAATATTCGCTGCAGTATTTACGCTTTCGTCAAGTTGTACCGGCCATGTTATATTATAGATGCGTATCTTACATGCATGACATAGATACCACGTACGTCCCCGTCTGTCTATAGTGTAATCTTTCACAACAGCAAGAGGTACATGTCAGTCTCTTTTGAGTAAAGGTCAGAAGCAGAAACATTCTGTACCGTATTCATGACATTGAGGATCCCCGTACAAATATGACATGTAGGCTTAAGGAGACTTACTCGAGGGAAATTTATCTGTGAGATAGAAATTTGATGCATATTTTCCAAACTATAGTGTAGGAACACTGGTAGTTATTTGTAAGGAATCTAGGATTGAACTCTAAACGCAACGGGCAAGTGCCACAAATCTGCCTCGATTGCATGGCAAAGGGTAATAATCTCAACAAATGATGGTGAAGCTATGATAAATGCTATACTGGATCCCCTTTTCTAGGCGACATCAGGCAAAATCTGAATATTTGAAACAGATCGATTTGACGCATTGCTAGGTCATGCATGCACAGAAAACATGAAAATTTTGCTTGAAAAATCTTGTTTACATCAATTATTAGGTTGTGTAATAAATTCTGTCGCATTTTTTGTTTTCTATTTTTCTCAACAATATTGACCTTACCTGGACTAAAGTGTATATGAATTTGAAAGCTCTGAGTCTGCTCTACATATGCATATGCGTCGTTCCCAAAGTAGCAGAAAACTGAAAACGATTTTCTGGCATTGAAACAAAAAATCCAAGAAGGCGAAAAATCCATTTTCGACAACTGCATCACGTCTTCCACCAAATAAGTCAGAATGCCTATGAAACAGCTCGAGAAATCTGCTGCGCGCAAGGAGAGCAAGGTATAGCTTCTGCAGAGCTTTAAAAATGCTGAAAGTTTTGAGAATCACTTCTATAATTTTTGAAAAGTCCTTTTTCCAACGTTTCTTCAACGTTGACGTTGGGCATCTGAAGGCAGTTTTGAGTGAGAGGGCAGTAGACGAATAAGCCAGAGAAGACAAAAGGGATTGTTTGTGGCTATAAAATCACAGAATTCATAGGTACTTGCTCAAAAAAATCAAAGTTTGGGGTCACACAGCTTTGGTACACGAGACGACGAACACGTCACGACGAAGTCCTGCTTCGCCAATTCTTGAAAAAAATGTCATTAAATAGTCGTTAGAAGGAAGGGAACAAGCACAAACAGTTACAGTACAGACATGAGAGTCAAGCAGGATGTTTTGTTTGTTGTGAAGCTTTTTGAATAAATTTTACTAACGGAAAACCGGAAAATTTTTGGAGAAAAAAGATGTCGAAAATGGATTTTTCTCTTTCTCGGATTTTTTGTTTCAGTGCCAGAAAACCTTTTTCAGTTTGTTTCAGTTCAGTTTTTTCTTTCTTTTCCTGCTAATTTGGGGATGACGCATATATTTAGTAAAGCAGATTTTGAGCTTACAAAACCACATACATATTCCAAGTAAGGTCAGTATTGTTGATAAAAAAATAAATCAAAAACGGCAGAACTTTATTGCACAAAATACATAACATCATTACTTTTTGTAAAGAATACTCAATGTGTATCTCATTATACAGATTGGAGATGCTAACTTAACAAAAAGAAAATATTGAATGAAAAGCCAAAATTCGTTAGTGTTTGTGGAGGCTGGTCAACGCACGAATTTTGCGTAGGGAGGAAGAGTACGCAAGGCCAAGAGCGAAATTGAAATTAGACTTTAGTAGAGGTTCCAATAACATCAGCCGAAATTAGTGAAAAAGAGTTATTTGAGAGTCATTTTCAATCAGCATGTATCGCTGCGATATGGCAACAAAGAATCTTACTCGAACTGGAAAGAGAAAGATCAATTGATTTCATTGAACGTTGAAATTAGAGAAGATTATGAGTTTTTAGAATTTCTAGTGGAAGACTTGTTTATCAACTTATTAGAAACGAAAAAAGTTGATTTTAACAATAAATACAAAGAACGGAAGTCGCAGGAACTCCAGCTGTTTCAAACAAAGGGCAACAGGCATTAGAAATACCGTTGATATGTAGCGTCCCCTCGATATCCTCCCCCCCCCCCTTCTCCTCGTCTTCATCAAAATGAGGCCTTTATTTGGAAATGGACATAGGCGTGTTGTGGCAAAATAAATCTGGTAATGACATTTGCAATCATGAGGATGTGCTTAGTGATCTAGGAGAGATTCGTACAATTTAGCGTCACTTAAGAGAATTGGTAAAGCGTACTATCATAGGTCAGACTCTCTCAGAACTTTTATCAGACATGAAAAATTCGATTTGCTTTGCGTATGCATAATTTTCAGCGACGAATGTGGATGCGAAAGCGACAAAGGTTACAACAACAGCTTCTTGGCTAACGTGAGTATATAGGTGTCGGTTATGAATAATCGTAGTTTGTTCCCAAATCTGTTTACATGAGACAAGAACTTCTGAGCTGACTTCGACGTTATATTTATATTATTCAGGCATGCGTTGATTATGCGAATCGAGAGATAGCCCTGGGAAATTCGGGAAAGTTCGACAAGGAAGATTTTACCCTGGTTGTTCAGCCTTTCTTCAGAGACATTGTAACACCGCCAATGAAGGTAAAAAATTTATTCAAGCTTATCCATAGGTCAGCTCACCAGCATTTTTCATAGGTTTGTAAACGTATTTTATCTCACCAAACATGGTAAAACTTCCAATAAGAGTTGGCAGCAACAATTTTCGAGAAAGTGACATGATTGACAGTTTTCTCGCGTTTACTCTATACTCTTTTCCGCTCCGTACAAACTACTTACGGTTTTCACTAAGAGTCCTGAACATAAAACTTTTTATCTACTTCCACTGAATTATGCGTAATCGCCTTCCAACTTACCGCAAAAATTCTACAAGAGTTTTTTTTGCAGAATGGCAAGATAAACATGGGTTTCTTTGCTCCCGACTGCTTCCACTTCTCACAATTTGGCCATGCCATTGTCTCGACTTGGCTGTGGAAGAACATTCTTGAACCAGTGGGAGCTAAAACTACGATGGGAGATCTGACGAATGCAGCGTTACCGCTGGCATGTCCGGATCCGGTAAGGC